CTCTAGGAGAAATCTGGCAAAAACCAACAAGTCACATGACCACCAGGCCTATGATGCATCAAAGGCAAGTAGTGGGTTAAGCAACACACTCAACTTTCCCAAAAGAAAACATTTCCTTGAGGCCACCAGCTTACCTCAAACTGTGTGACAGCAGCGTAGCGGACCTCTCCAGCAGCGGACGAATATTTACTTCTATAGAATCCCTTCATTTTGTCGTTCAGCTCCCCGACGAAGTCTATCTTCAACGTGCCAGAGCCTAAGGGGGGGTTAGTTCAGCCATAACCGATAAATATATTCATTCTTCTAATATTTCATTCTTCAAGTGTAATAATGTTTGAAAAGCAGACACAACAGCAGAGACGAGTGGAGTCCCTTCTCACCTTTCTGTAGAGCACTAGGAAATGACAGGGTGACTTTCTCGTCCTCATTCTGATAGTTGAATCCTGTGGCATTAATTTCTAAAAAGAGAGGAAGAAAAAGATATGAGACCACGAGCATGAAATACTCACTCTTACTATTTCAGGAATTAAAAAATCAGGTGTAATCGAAAAAAATCAAGATACCTACAAACTACATTTTCGTCATTATTAATAAAGAATAAAGGAGCGTAAAAAGCAGAGTCTGACCCTCACCTTCTCCTCCCTGCGGTACGAAGGACGCCGTGATGATGTCGATGTCAGCACAGTTCATCACAATCTGATTGGTGGCCTGTGTAACCTGTAAATATTGACATAAAACATAATTTATCCTCGATAACCTCTGCGGTGACATCATTTCAAATCCCAACATGTTTGGGAAAGGTGAAGCCTGAATGAAGTGTAAAGCTCCAATAAACACTACCACCGGAGTATGTAAAGAAGCAGGAGCTTTTATTTTGAAGAGAGCAAATGTAACTGTGATGGTATACGCAGACGGATCATCAGATAGCTGAGGCGGGAATGAATCTGCTTACTGAGCGCTAAACACACAGAGGTTGAAGGGCAAACTGGGCACAGATAAAGAACCAGTCGGGGTATGCGGAAAGAAATAAAGTGATGAAAACAAAGACAGGAAGACAGACTATGGGGCTTCTGACTTGTGATGTGGAAAACCGTGGATGTGACTGCCCGATTTATTAAGAACGAAACACACTTTGAAGCCTCACAGTTTTCAGAAAGGGTTGTTTAATAGTGACGCTGCTGTTGTTTGATACACTCGGAGGCCGTGATTAAGAAACATGCAAGGCAAATGGCAAAGTGCCACATTGCTTTGGTTTCTTCCGGTCCATTGTATTTCACCCAGGCGTTGTACAAACCGCAGGAAAAATGGGTGTTACTAAACCAAACTGGTGAAAAATGTTCGCCTCTCAGCACGCACAGGAGTGAAATGAACTTTCAGGAGGACTCAACTTTAAGAGCTGCTGAAATGAGGATTTGCATTTAGTCCCGGCAAACATCTAAATGACGTAATGTTTGAATATATTCAAACCTTGACTGGATGTTTTATCAGTAGGGTTGGTCTAAATCTGTTTGAATGTGTCACGCTTTAATAGAGATCATATGCTAAATAGTAATAAGCACATGATCTCCCATATACATTCCTCGTGCTAGGTGTCATGGCTGTCCTGGAGCCAATAAGACACCAAACGAAAATAAGACAAACTTCTCAAAAACATCCAGCGCCAGCTTTCAATGGCTTAGTGCTGAAACAATAAATTGATTGACAGAAAGATAATCATCAACCTCTTTGATAAGTAATTGTAAAAGTGGTTCTTTGAGGAAACATGTCAGGTCTTGTGTGAGGATCCAGCATACTTGTCTTTGTTTTGTAACATTCGTAAACTGGATTTCTATGAGTTTTGGGCTGCTGGTCAAGCAAAACGTTGTTTACTTTGTTTTCCAGCTGTCTGCTTTGTTTGTCATATTTGACTCATGCTCCTTGGAGTTAGTGTTATCTTATCATCGTTAATTTAATACTCATAACATTACCTGCTCTTGATAGGGAAGCCGTTTATATCCCAGTAGTGAAGGGTGTCGTATACACAAAGAAAACCTAATAGCAACAATGTACATTTAGCCCATAATATATAATGACGCCGTGTATCCTGATTGCTCTGATAATGTGTGTTGAGTGAGCGTTTACCACAACACAGCTGACATGTGTACTTACACACTAGAGGCACAACTTCACCTCAGAAATACATTCACAGTAAGCTGGTGCGTTTGTTTTATGTGTTAGTTACATAGTAGCTACACCCACTGTTGAGATAAGCCTCAGGGATCCAAACTGATTCACTAGCCTATCACCTTAAGTCAACTGAAAGCTAACCAGCATTAGCAAACGCAGCATGCATTCCTTACGCAGACTTACTGTTTAAAGAATATAGTTTAAACTTAACTAGAGCTGCTCTGAAGACACTATCATGCAGAAATTCACTTACAAGTCATCTTCGCTGTCAGGACAGTTGCGTTTACTTGAGTGCTGTACTTAAGTACTAATTTGGAGTATACTTAACCAGAGTATTTCAATTTGGAGCAAACTTTTACTTCTACTCCAACACATTTCAGAGAAAAATATTCTACTTTTTACTCCATTAGAATTATCTTGACAGGTTTAGTTACTTTTCAGATTACCATGTTTCATATCATTCCAGTTCAGTAAAAACATTATTTTGGTAAAAAACCAACAACATGTATCTCCAGATATGTTGATTTTAAATGTTAAACTGAAAGATGAAGTGTTCATTTGTGTGCTGACAAAACCCCCCTACTTATTATGCTAAATAAACTATTTAAAAACCAGATAGTAAATGCACAGGGCTGTTTTTTGAGATCATGAGAAGTTGACCAATACTTTGTTCTCACAATTACAAACATGTTATTGTAGAATGATGCATTACTGTATATTAAACTACCCAACAGTATATGAAAGAGTTTAAATCAGCAACAACCATAAACATCTAGAAGTAAAAATGTAACACGCATTACTGCAGCAGTAATATTAATTCAAAAACATAATGTATAATAGTATAACACTGACATTTTACTGCTAAATGAATACTTTCACTTTCCATACCTTAAGTACATGTTACTGCAAATACTTGTGTATTTTTAGTTACGTTAAGGTGAAGTGAAGTAATCTCATAGTGTGGCATTAAAGTAAAGGATCTGAATACTTCTTCTACCACTGTAAGTGAGGCAACATGTTGCCATGATTTAGCATAAACATTAGTGAGCTTATAGCTTAGCAGCTAGTTGACAACCTCAGTGACCTTAAAACAGATTAATTGATCGTGATTTATAGCAATGCATTGGTGTACTAAAGGGGTTAAAGTTGCTGGCATACAACAAACAAAAGCTCTTGAAACACATTAACGTTAAGCGCCTGTTAGCGGGCTAATGTCCACGGTACTAATGGCTAAAGCTAACATGAGAGTGCAAGTCTGCTGCTGTCTACGGGACTGTTGTGCTAGCTAGCTGGCTAGCTTCAATTAGCTTCTGGCTAGTCACAGACATATCCATACATTATTATTTTTTTCCATTCGTGGGGCTCCTTCAGCCAGTGTGGTGAAACGGTTGACTAGGTTATCAACCGCCAGCTAACCATTAACGTTAGCTAAAAACGCCAACACAGGTCAGCTAGGTTGCTACTGTTTTGCTAGCTAGCTAGAAATTAGCTTCTGGCTAGTCACAGACATATCCATACAGATTTTTTTCCCTTCAGCCAGCGCGAGAGCCCCCGTCGTGAAACGGTTGGCTAGATTGCTAACCGTTAACGTTAACGCCAACACAGGTCAGCTAGGTTGCTATTTGATGAGCTAGTGGTTTAAATTAGCTAGCTACTGGTAACGTTAGCTGTGGTCAGATTACATAACAAGATCCCTCCGCCATGCACAGACTAGACAAATAATCCATCCATGTATGACGCTACCAGCGCTCGGGTTTCAACGTAACAGTTACCTCCACGAGCGCCTCCAGCTTGCCTTCGAAGGTGAAGTCGATGAGGTCGGGCTTCAGACACAAGCCGTAGTTGACGGGGTAAACGTCAGTTGGTAACCGAACGAAGGGCCTCCTTTCGGGCATGGTTCCTGTATTTTTTGGGCCAGTTGCGCTAATAACGAAGACGGTTGTTGTGTGTTATAATTCCAGTTATCGTTCTGAGTTTTATTAAAGCAAAAACGGGCTTCGACAGTGATGATGGTGGACAGCAAGTAGTGAGTCTGTTTTACGAATGACAGCGGAACCCTGCGGCCCAGGAGCAGCGACATCAACTGGAACCCTCTCAACACTTCTCTACCCGTAGACTTCTTCTTCTTCTTTTTGAGGTTTATTGGCGGTTGGCAAACAATGAATTGGTGCATTACCGCCACCAACTGGTATGGAGTGTGGATGAGGATGTCTAGTACTTAATAAAATAAAATAAGAAACAACTGGCTCATATTTTCTTTATAATATTAGTTAGTCCAATATATTGAAATAATACTTGATAACATTCACTTTTTGAGTTCTTTTGCAGAATATCCACTACATCAAACCGTACCTCCATCTTGCCGAGGTCTCCAATCAGCTGCCCTCTTTCCTGTTCATGTTTCTGAACGTTTTCTAAAGAAAAAGAAACATTTATAATAATAATAATAAAATAAAACAAAACAAATCAAAATAAAATTAAAAAAATGGACTAAAAATGTTTACCTAAAATGTAAACAAACCGAATCCATAATAACAACAACAACAGCAATAGTAATAATGGCAATAATAATAATACAATACAAATAAAACAATACTACTACTACTACTACTACTACTAATAAAATAATAATAATAACATTTGCATAATAATATTAACGTCCATAACCACGCATTGATCTGATAATGTACTGAACCGTACGACTACAATTGACACTGTGAATAAGTCAAATACAATTTTTTGCTTTAGGTAAAATAATTTCTGTATAATATAGTTTTAAAGACCAGCACAAAGTTTTATTTTGAAAGCAGAAATCGGAAGTCTTATGCAGGCAAGATGGCGACGCCCATGAGGAGGACACTGGTCGCTCTTCACAGAGCAACATTGAGCAGTTTCAAGGTACTGAGACATCTAATGACACTTTACTTTATTAAATAAAGACAGTCGGTATGTTGTTGAAGCAGCTCGTTTGTGTGGCTTGTTATGAAGGTTTATGTTTAAAGGGAGTCCTGAGGGAGCTAGCTTAGCTATTGCTAGCTGACTGGACATCAGACAGACAAGGAACAATATTTAGATATTTAGATAGATAAATACATAGTTACTTACTTTATTAATCCTGCAAGGAGAATTTTTTCGCTACAGCACCAATAAGTAAAAAATAAATAAAGTAAACATATTAAATATCAAATGCATAATATATACAATAAGAATAACAGAGTAAAGATATTAGATATAAAATTGCACAATATATACAATGAAACAGAATAATATTAAATGAACTAACTAAACAGTAGTGCAAAGATTTAACCAAACAACAAATAACAACAACAACAGAGTGACGGTGTTTTCGTTTTTTTATAGTTTTGTGATTGATTTAGTAACTTCCAGGAAAAATAGATCAAATGTTAGCAAAACATGCAAAAACTCTCAGCGAGTTAAAATTCTGACCTACTGTCATTTACCATCAATCTTAACGTAACAGTCACATTTTCGACTTCTTATAACATTAGTTATTTGCGGTGGTGGAATGTAACTAAGTACATTTAGTCAAGTACGTGCTTCAGTACTAGTTCAGTACTTCCACGTGATGCTTCTTTGTACTTTTAGATGTAGTGGAGTAACGTTAAAAGTAAATATTGTACTTTTTTACTCCACGCTTCCAGTTCCAGAAATGTGCTGCTTTTACATTTCTGACATTGTTTACTTTTATTTTTGCACCTGCATAATAATATGTATTGTTTAGCCTTCATTTAGTTTTATTTGCACTCTATATATGTTTTGCACATTTTCTCACTTTGTGTTGCAACTGCTGTACAACAATTTCCCCTTTTGGGGAAAAATAAAGTTTCATCTTAAAACCCGTTCTCCCAGAATGCTGAGGGGTCTCTGGACGTGCGGCATCCCGTCCCGCTGTACCTGCCGGTCCGCACTAAGAAGCGGTACTTCGTCCCTCCGGCGGCCGGGCTGAAGGGAAAGAAGGAGGAGAACCCGGAGGCCAAGGCCCGAGCTGCAGGCCTCGTCTTCAGGCAGCAGTACTTTGAGAGGCCCATCAACATCGCCTGCACTGGTAATAATGTTGCTGCTTTTTCATCTTAACGGGAATACATGAAGGTATACTGCTGGTGTGTGTGTGTGTGTGTGTGTGTGTGTGTGTGTGTGTGTGGGGGGGGGGGTGGGGGGTGGGGGGGTTATTAACAACATTCTAGTACATTTATCAAATACAACATATCAGACTTTAGAGGGATAAGAGTAGTGAAGATGATCAGTTTAATAAGTTAAGTTTGCCACATTTGTCCTCAAATGTCAACCCCAGGTCTCCTGCTATTGTACTGATTGATCGTCCCTGTTTGATGTCTTCACCAGCGGGCATCTTTGACCCCTACATCCCCCCGGAGGGCGACGCTCGTCTGTCCACTCTGTCTAAAGAAGGCCTGAAACAACGAACTGAACAGATGCGACAGAGCGCCGGCTCACAACTAGCGTAAGATTATGTCTCTTAACTCTTTCTTATCACCTTGTTTCAGCTGTTTCACTGAATCGCATCCAGATCATCTTACTCACACACACTTTGCAGTGAACGTGAGAAAGCGAAATTTATTTCTTCGTTGTCGTTTCTTACAGGATTCGTAAAATCAAAGAGCACGACTCTCAGTTCACAACGAAGAGTTTTGCAGAGCGAGCTCAAGAAATGTTCATGGAGGCCCACGACGCCCTGACACAGTAAGAACATGACCTCGTGTCTCTCAGCCGGCTGACACAGCTCAGCTCAGCCTCGTTAAAATATAACTCTGTTTTACTTGCATAGACAATTAATTAGCTGGTTCGTCCTTTTATTGTTAAGACGGTCGTGTTGCCGGTTTACTGGGATCAAACTGTCTCGTACTTTATTTCCTCCATTCAGGACAGCGCTTTACAAATACACAGTTCATTTCAGTTCAGTCATCCCACTGAGAGCGAGACGTATCTATGTGCAGGTTGTTAAGATGTTTTCTAGGTGTGACTTCCTGGTTCTCGCCGCCCCTGATGCACAATAATGCAGCTTTTGTTGTTTGTAATGTTTTGATATTGTTATCATATTTCATAACTTGTAAAAACATCTTGTCAATAATATTTAACATACCGTAGTCATATCTTATGCATATTTATTTTATGTTCTCTGTAATATTGTGAAATCCTAATATTCTATAGGTGGAGGCTTCAAATAAGCCCAGTTGGCTTGTTGCCTCTTCCTGCTATTATGTTTTTTATTTTTTATTTTATTGTTTAAATTGTGCAAAATAAATAAACTAATCTAAAAAGTGTCATGTGACTGAAGGCTGTCTCTGGGTTTAGATGAGAAGATGAACTGCTGTTTGTTTTTGCAGGTTCAACAAGGAGAAGCTTCACTCCCTGGTGACAGAACGGTGTTACCCTGTAAGTGGTTCTTCTTCATGTTGCTGACGTTTGTCACCAATCCGGTTTCATCAAATCCCCATTTTATTTTGGTTTTGACTCCTCTGTCCCGTGTTCAGGAGATGACGAGGGGGAACCGTTACAAGACGATCAGCTGGAGGTTCGTCGAGTCCCTGGAGCCGCCCAAAGTGGTCCACGCCCGCTGCCCTGACATGATCACCAAAGGAAACCTGTACGGCCAGGTGACAGTCCGCATGCACTCCAAACAGGTATGACCCGTATGGTAATGCTCTGTAGTCGACTCAAATCAAGTCATGATATGAGTCTGAACTATTTGTGTGCAGAGCTTTTTCTCGAAGTGTGTGTTAGATTTAGAGACAATATTACAATCAGGATCCATGAGACTTTGTGAAGACTCTTTTACGTGCGGTCGTCCTGTAGATTCTGGCCATCTACGACCGCTTCGGGAGGCTGATGCTGGGCAGCGAGGACCAGCCGAAGGACGTCTTGGAGTACCTGGTCGTAGAGCGGCACCTCGTCAACCCCTACGGCCGATGGAGGTTACACGGGAAAATAGTGCCGTCCTGGGCTCCGGCCAAAGACCCAATTATCAAGGTGACCCTCTGCTCTGCACTGGCTGACTACATTTATCTTTTAGTAGAAGAAGAAGGCAGAGTTCAAGGCAAAAAGTAAAGTTAACTATCCAGTCCGTACGTCACTTTAACGGCCACGTGAACAAGATGTTTCAAGCTTTTCAGTATAATTTTCTTATGTTTACGATTATTCATTTTCTCTTCCTTTGCTTCATAATGCTTTTAAACATCCGTTCCTTCTTCCCCTAAGATAGCAGCTGTTTGGTTGTTCAAAAGCTTTAATAACCTGCCTGGACTGCCCATCACGTTGAGATGTGTGCAGAAGTGTTGAACCTCCACAGTGTGGCGGCAGGATTAACTAACCCTAGTTTAGACTGATGCAGGCGAATACAACAGTCCTACCTTTTCATGGAGGTCATAAGGTGTTTTTATATTGTTTGTCTTTATCAACAATGTAGACTAACGGCACAATACAATATATATACAAATACATATATACAGTATATACAGAGAATGGCCATGCAAGAATTATTTTAATGCTGTTAACGCAAGTTAATTATTTTGTTATCTTAATTTGTAACGAGATAATCAACTCGTTATTAATGTTTATCAAAGAAAGGGAGAGAGAACAGCGCTTGTTTTCTTGAGGTAACGAAATATTTCACTTGAAATCTCGTGAAAATATAAAAATAAATTGCTAGCTCGGCTGTTTTCTGCTACCGTACGTTTAATAGATCAATCTGAGTTTTCCTGATCGACTCGTGATGACCCGATTGTGTTTCTCACTATGATTCAACCACATTTAACTCGAATATCTCCATGATTATATGAATGTGTTGTTGTGGCTCCGTCCTTTACTTCAACTTTAAAAACAAAGCCCTGTTAGATTCTGGTTACCTGAGTCGGGTTCAGTGTCTGCGTCAGTCTTCACGAGACCGGAATAGAAGTTGACTTGCATTATACGCATCACTGCAAAATGCAGAATATAATCACCTTAAGTCTGTGAGTCAGCCCCGCTGTGGCTCGACTACAGCAGACAGATGGAGCAGTAATGTTGCCCGGGAGGTGTTTCTTACTCTGACAAAGCTCCGCCATCAGTGCTCTGCAACAGTTTCTGTTACCGTCTCCCTTCTCATGGTTACTTTTGTTATTAATAATGATAATACAAATAATGAGGCGCTTGTTGTTCATGTGATCACATTTATAGTAAGAAAAGAAGGGGAATTATATGATGTAATTCATCATTTGTAGTGGTAACACACCATTTAAAGCCTAAAATGGTGTGTATATACGAATGTATCTATATAAAAATACAGATGGATAATGTTTCATTGTTTATCAGGTGTCTTTAACAGAACTGATCTTTGTCCTGAAGCTTGATTTCCCTCAGAAGAAGAAACGGCTTTAAAAGTAGCATTGAATAGATGGTCGCTTGAGATATTGGTTATTTGTTGATTTCAATTAATTTGACTAAAAATGTGACTCTGCTTACAAATGACTGTGATCTGCTTCTTTCCTCCTCCAGACTGTCATGATTCCAGGTCCAGAGCTGAAGCCAGGACAGGAGTTTGAGGCCCTCAACTATGAAGTTCCCAAACCAGAGGCGGTTCAGTGGAATAAATAGGCCACCGGGTGGCGCTGCTCTCAACATCAAACCACACTGAGACACTATGAGCAGTCATGCGCCAAATGCTGTTTACATTCTGGCTGTGGCTGGTTAGTTTGTCCACTTTGGCAAGAAACCAGGCGCTTTGGAGGCGCTTATCTGTTTGAGAAACGCTGTTGGCTGTAGAAACGGTGGAAGCAGCAGGTGAGTTTCAGGATGAACAAACTAGCGAGTCCTGCAGCCAATAAAGCTGCTGCTCTCCCTGCAACGTACAACACTCTGGAATAATAACAGAAATACATTTTCTCTAATTAGTTTCACACATTTTCATGTTGTTTTAAGACTAACTTAAAAAATAAAATGTACAGATCTCCAGAACTTGAGTGGTTTATTTCTGTGATGAATATACTGCACGTTGACCTCAGGAAATACAAAAATAAAGTCCCACCTGCGTCTCCTCATACCAGTCGATTCATTTCTTTCTTTATCAGAACAATCTTTCACAGAAGATATTGCATACAAAACAGAACATGGCCTCTTTATCTTTGCAAATCAAGGGATGTGTTACAACAAATTACATCAAATTACAGCACGCTCCTTCAAAAGACACACTAACATGCAACAATGCTTAAAACTAGGTCACTCCATTGATAACAGAAACTTGGCGCCATGTTTAAACAATGACATCACTGAATGAAAAGTAATCGCTGCAGTCGTCTGGGACAGAATGACACTTTAGGAGCAGAAGTGCTGAAAAACTTGACACCTGATTTCACAAATTGCTGGCATAGACATGTAACTTAATTACATCCATAGAGAATACTGTTAATATTGTAAGTTTATATCATACTACTGCTTTTAAAAAGTTGTATTTGTTTAAAATGGTACTCACTAATGTCAGACAGTGAAACGTAGGGCCACTCTTGATGTCAATAAACTAAGCTAATAATAAATATATCCAATAGTCATAAGATATCTTTGACTAATCCATGAATCAATTTAATTTCAAACACCTGTCGGTATTACCGGTTATCAATGAAGTCGTGCAGAAGAATCTCATAGAGAACAAGAATAACAATATTAGTGAATATTACTTTGGTGCCAAAGATGTTACTTTTTTCCAACAATGACTGATATCAATAACTGATATCAATACCTGCATTAAAAATCTCACATTATTTGCAATATTTAGTTAATTTAAAACAGGTCCGTTTAGCTGCAACACAAATTTGAATTTCTTTCCAATTAGCAAACATTTAAGGAGCATATGTGTATTTTTCACAGTTTTGAATGTTTATCTCATGGACCCATCTTGGTGAAACTGGTGTCCATTGCAATTGTACTGACATTACTTTCTAAATACTTAGATCATAAAACAATTATGCAGTTTTCACTCTACTTTAAGGGGTTTTAAGGGTGTATGTCTTGAAGTTTATGGTGATTTATGAATTTATTTGGCATTGCTTCTTTAAGTAATGGAATGTTATTATTACATTATTGTCACTGAATCAAAAACCAGAGCATAGTAATAATCATTGGCATTTAGTCATTAAATCCGTCACTTAAGCAAACAGGTATGCATAGTTTTATCAATTATTAATACAACATCCAGTGCTTCACATTAAACACGTTCTGTTACTTTGAAAAAGAATTTGACTGAATTTATCGGGCGAATGCCGGTGAAGCTTAGAGTTCAATGTGGACTTGTTTAGTTCAGGTTTTGTGACATTCGAGGTGAATGTCAGCCATGGGTCCAACATACTGTACGTTCATGGCATATATGAGTACTGTCACCTAAAAACATACAAAGACACAAAAAAAGTTTCAATTTTAAAATGGGGGGTAGAAGCAGGAAGAAAAGGGACTTCATCTAAAAGCCTTAGATGCCCTTCCATCAGCCAAGAAATGTCTGTCTGTAGTTCACTGCTGCTTTAATGAGGGACGTAGTGTTTGCACAACTCATTGTGTCCAGCTCATCAAGTCTTTACTAAAGGCTTCTTCTTCGTCGGGTAGCGGCATGGCCCAAAAGTCCAGCCTGAAATAACAAAGCCCTAAATTCTGTCCTTGATTGGCGCAGTCACTTGTTCCAACAGAAAGGGCTTTCAGCTCTGCCAGCTGCAAGGGAGCTGTTTGTGAGCTGACCCTGCAAAGTTCCCCTTGACCATCAACAGGTGAAGGGGTAAAATGTTAAAACAAATGCTGGCTAGAGTAAGATCACAAGTCAGATGGGAATACAAGAGCTTCGGCAGCACATTCGGCATCGTCTTCCTCGTCTTCCTCAGGAATATTCTCTGGCTCCCATGTAAAGACGTCGGAGGCATTGTCTGTGAATGAACCTGATTGGCTCCGTTCCATCTCCCAGGGACACAAAGCATCACAGCGGCCCAGGGCTAAGTTTTCTTTTGACTCATTTAGCTGCTCCGTGCTGACGTCTGCTGGGCTCTCTTCAACACTGAGTGGCTGGTTCTCTGTAACTTCATCTTGGTCGCTTTTGGGAATATCAACTTTGCTTTCGGTTGAGGTTTGTTGATCCTTGGACTCCCATGGACAAACGTCTCCTCCAGTGCTATCTTGCTTTTTGACAACTCCTGGCTCCTCTGTCTCCCACGGACAAACATCTCCCCGTGCGCTATCTTGCTTTTGGAGAACCTTTGGTTCTTCTGTCTCCCACGGACAAACATCTCCCCGTGCTTTATCTTGCTTTTGGAGAACCTTTGGTTCTTCTGTCTCCCACGGACAAACATCTCCCCGAACACTTTCCTGCTTTTGGAGAACCTTTGGTTCTTCTGTCTCCCACGAACAAACATCTCCCAGAGCGCTTTCCTGCTTTTTGAGAACTTTTGGTTCCTCTGTGTCCCACGGACAAACATTTCCTCGAGCGCTATCCTGTTTTTGCAGAATTTTTGGCTCTTCTGTATTCCACAGACAAACATCTTCCCTGGAATTTCCTTGTCTTTGTATGTTCTCTGATGCTTTTGATACTTCCGTTTTGACTGCCCCTGCACGAGCCGTGTCTTGCCTTAAATTAATCTCAGATGTTTTGGGAGTCTGTGGATTTCCTGATTCTGGTTCGCCACTATCCCATGGACAAACATCTGCTAGCCTTTCTGGTCCTTGTGAAACCATCCTGGTAGCTGCAGTGTTATCAGGGGGGTCAGTTTCCCAGGGACATATGTTTACTCTTGTGCTGTCTTTCCCATCAGTCTGTACAGAAGCAGCTCTCAAAGGTGAGATACCATTTTGTGAGTCTGCTGGTTTGTCTTGATGTCCAGTCTCCCGGGGACAAATATCTACCTTGATAGTCATTTGTGTCGTTGAGCCTGTATCTGTTGGCTCTGTGTTCCCCTCATCCCATGGACAAATGTCTCCCACGAATTTAGGGGGATCGGGGAAATCCCACGGACAACTTTCTGCTGCCTTGGACATTTGCCTACTCAAATGCAGGGCAGCGGATTTTGCATGGTGCTGCTGCTCATTGCCTAAATTTTCTTTTGACGCACCAGGATAGACGGCAGATTTCATAATTTCTTGTCGAAGAGGCACAGACAGCGTTCCTTTGTTCTCCAAAGGATTTAGGTTTTCATATACAACTTCAGCCTTGTACTGAACATCCCAGGGACAAACATTAGCATATTCGTTATCTTCCTTTACTGAAGGTTGGGGACTTCCTGCAGTCTCCCTGGGACATACATCTGCTGATCTACGTTTCAAAGACTGTTGTCCTTGTGAATCTTTAGACGTGTTAGTATAATAAATAACTGGAATATCCTGTGATTCCCAAGGACACGCCTCACCACGACGACTTCCTTGCCTGCTCACATTCCCTTGCTCTTGAGATTCCCATGGACATACATTAGATGGTTGAGATACCTGTGAGTCCCAAGGGCAGACGTCTGCTTTAATGCTCTGCTGCTTCATAAGTCCCTCTCCTTCCTTGGAAGTACGAGCTCCATCCAATGGACACACATCTGTGTAGGTAGTATTGGGGACTGGTGTAATTCGATTGCTTCCTCTTCTGTGAGTTGAAGGAGTTCTACAGCTGCTAGCAGTTTCCCAAGAACTAATACTACTACGTTTGCTGTTCTGCCTTGATAAAAACACATTTTCATAAGTGCCATCTTTTTGCATATCATCCATGTCCCAAGGGTAGACCGCAGATTTTACCATTGCAAGCTTTCTCGGGCTTCTGTCAGAAGAATCCCCAGAAGAAAGTCTGATGGCATTCTGTTTCACGAGACATGGTTTTCCTGCTGTTGTCATACTTCTTTTCTGCAACGACCTCTTTTCCTTGCTGGGACGTCGACTAGATGGCGTTGTGGAAGCACTTTCCTGACTTTTTTGTGAAACAGAATCCTCTTTATTCAAACTCCCCTCCTTACTGGACCTGCTTCTGCTATCAAAGGATCCTACAACTGTTTTCACAGCGAGCCACTTACTGCTGGTGTTGCGGAAGGAGAAGACGCTTTGATCTTTTATGACCTTTGGTCTTGGAGTGCCTGGTGCACTTGCAGACACACAGGCCTGTGGTTTGGGGGAGTCAGTTCCACCTATTCCCCTATCTTCTGAAGGGTGCTTTTCTACGGGTGGAAAATGGTCCCAGGGACAGACAAGCACTTCTGGAGATGCTGGCCCTTTGTCCGACCCCTCCTCAGAGTTTGCGTAGGTGACATGTTTCTGGTTCTTGTCCCCTGATTGTTCTTGATCTACCTCCCAGGGACAGACCTCAGCCTTGTCAAATGACTCTGACTGAAGAGCACTCCTGGTCTGGTCACTAATGGAAATGCTGTGCCGGGACCTTGTCAGCACTGTGCTGGCTCTGTTAACCTTCGGTATGTTCTCCATAGAATGTGTGGTAGTTGAGGTTAGACTCCAGGACTTATGAAGCCTGGTGTGATCAGGATGCAGGAGATTGGTATCAATTGACAAATTTTGGGCACTGGCTGACTTGCAAACTCCTGGTGGGATATCCAAGGAATCTGTCTCAGATTCCCGGGAAGATCTCTTCACAGCGTTGGCCTTTAACATGGAGTCACGCAAGGATGGGTCTCTTTCCCTGACATAGTGATGATCACTTTGGGACTTGCGCATGGAGGGTGATGGTGATTTCATGGAACTTTTGTAACTGATACTGACATTATCTGGGGTCCTCCTGAAAGACTCAGATTGATTCGCACTGATCCTACTGTGGAAGGATCCATCTTTGTCCTCACGGCTGTACTGCCGGCTCATGCTTTCTGGGATCTCCGCAATGCGTCTAATAATGGATCTCCCCAAAGTGCATCGAGAACTTCGCTTCTTTGACAGATGTGGGTTGTTTGCGGTCATCTTCTTGGTCTTGTGGACTTCTAACTGGGCATATAACTTCCTCAGTTCATCCTGGTGCATATGAAGAAGGGAGGAAATTGATGAAGGGATTGAGGAAATGGTTGAGGAGAGGAAAAGATATGGAGAGTAACAAGTCAGAGGAGAGGTAACAGACATGTTTTCATGTAAGAACAACACCATTTAGGATAAGGATAAAGGGTGGAGAAAGGTTATACTGTATATGTTCATTCTACCGCTGATTGTATTAACTGTTATTTTATTATTTGAATTATAATACATTTAAGATCTGTTTAAGTGTGTCTACATCTGATCATGACTGAAATTAAGGTACATTTATTTTCCTTATTTAAATGTGATCTTAGGAATTTCTTCCACATTTTGTAAATTATGTCCCAATGCGAAGTGATAACATCGTTCGGAGGCAACAAGAGAGTTTACCCGAAAGTCATCCGGGTCCACTCCACTGTGTTCACTCCAAGCAGAGTGAAAACTGCTGTTGAGGTACGAGCCGGAGCGCCGCAGGTCCACTTCATCTTCATACACCTCTGCTGCAATCTCCGCTCTCCCCGGCTTAGACACATAAAGAAACTGTGGAGGACACACAGGAGTAAAAAGTGATGTTAACTTTTGGCATCAGAAAACAACATTGTTTGTAGTCATACACATTCAAACACTTGAGTTCACAGTGAAATTATTGGATGCATTATCACAGAATATTGTAAAAGAAATACTTTCATGGTCTACGAATTCTCATAGTTTACAGGCCAACACGATAAACATTCAAAGTGGTGGAAAGTTACTCAGTACAAGTACTGAACTTAAGTACAATTTTGAGGTACTTGTTTTAGGGTATTTTCATTTCCTGTTTCTTTATACTACTACATCGCCACATCTTAGAGACAACTATTGTACTTTGTCACTCCACTACATTATCTGATAACTTAAGCTACTTTGAAGATTCAGAATACAAAATCTAATCAACAAATAATTGATCGTTCTAAAACAAAAAAAAATGGCAGTATATATAGTAAAAAATAAAGTCCACCTTTACCAGCTGCAACATTAATGTATCAATAGTTATAATTGTGGTGCGGACAAAACAACTTTGAGCTCAACGCTCTAAAGACAGTGAAGATGATTGTGGATTTCCTGAACAATGCAGCCGCACCTGCACCTATCCCCCTGTGTGATTTCCCAGTTGACACTTTTGAGTCCTTCAGATTCCTCGGCTCCATCATAACCCCCGAACTCAAGTGGGAGCTGAACATCAGCTCGCTCATCAAGAAGGCACAGCAGAAGATGTACTTCCTGCGGCAGCTGAAGAAGTTCCACCTGCCTCAAGACAATGATGGTGCACTTCTACACTGCCATCATTGAGTCCATCCTCACCTCCTCCATAATTATCTGGTACGCTGCAGCCACTGCCAAGGACGAGGGCAGAGGTGCAGCGTATCATTCACTCTGCAGAGATTGTGATCGGCTGCTGTCTGCCTTTCCTCCAGGACCTGTAAGCCTCTAGGACCCTGAGGCGGGCAGGAGAGATTGTGGCCGACCCCTCCCACCCTGGGCACAAACTGTTTGAGGTCACATTGCTCTGGCAGGAGGCTGCGGTCCATCAGGACCAAGACTTCAGGACACAAAAACTGTTTCTTCTCAACTGCAGTTGGGCTCATCAACAAGATCCAGAACCCCCACTGGCTCACATTTAACTAGATGGCATGGCTAATGTAAATAAACCCAGATTAAGGCAAGAATATCTCCAGAGATTGAGATGACTTAATGCTTGATTGATGACGTTTTGTCTACTTTGTGTCCTTCTTCCACCCCAACATGCTACGAGTACCTTAGGAATGAAGAGCAGGGCGAGTGTCACAGTGATGGTCACATGGGTGTGCGTGAAGGAGAGCAGCAACATCCAATCAGGATGGAGAGAGGAAAAAGTGAACCTGAGGTAAAACAGAAAAAACACAAAATCATGTCACATCAGTGCACTGTTTTTGCAAATATATTGCTGAGGGTATGTTGCTTGGGCATATTGGGGGTGTTATCTGTCCTGTACCTTCTGAGGTTCAGGGACATGCTCACGGTTTTACCTGAACAGATGAAACAAGGAGGAGAGAAGCAGCTCGTTGTGGATAGCGATGCCCATGTAGCGAGGCTCGTGGAAGGCTGAGGGAACCGGCCTGACGGCGGTCCACAGGGAGCTGCCCCAGCACAGGAACAGAAGCTCGGCTAAGGTAGAACACAGGTTTTTTTCAATTTGCTAGAGTTTAGTACGGTTCTAGCGTTTCGATATTGCTAAAATGCTTAATATTGTGTTACTGTATCAACTTTAGCCGTGGCACTGTAGTTTCACGACTTAACTTTGACCTACCGTACTTACTGTAGTTGTGTGCACACAGATTTCCTGTGCAAAGAGAGATTATTTTGTTTTTACATTTAAAAGTGAATCCGAATCACGGGGTGGATAATTTTTTTCGTTAACATACGTGATTGGGCGTGGCCTTGCCGAAGGTCTGTGCTCTTAGAGTGCCCTGACTGACAGAAATGATGACTAAAACTATGAAAATTTGACCCAAATAGTAAAAAAACTGAATTATCCTGTAATAATTTTATTATGTTCTTCTTCCATGTTGATAAAAGTTAATATTGACTTCAACGTAAGAATTTCATGACCATTATTTAAGGTCGAAATATACGCAAATTTCAAAATCTAGTTTATAAAAAAGGAAATAACTGCGTTGTTGGGGGGGGAAAGGATCTATCAACTCAGATAATCTAAAGTGTCTCTTTCTCAGGTGTCCAGGCTCGTCTTCACTTCTGCTGCCACTCACCCACAGCCATCATGTAGTCCCAGCGGTCCAGGTAACACAGGTTGAAGCCCTGGCCGTCCGACGTGGTGGTTGTGATGAACACCGGGATGTTCCTGTCGCGGTTCTGCAGGACGCCGACCGTCCACGCACACAGGAACCAGCTGACCGTCATCAGCATCACTCCCAGAATCCTCAGCAAGTGCAGGCTGGACATGTAGGGCACTCTCTGGGCCGTGCGTGAGAGGAACACCTTCAGGACCCTGCGAGGCAACAAAATCTATCAATGTTTCACTGCTGAAGACAAAATGTAGAAAATGTACCGTTTACATTAAAAAGGCACGGCAGCTTTATTTATATGGCACATTTCAAACAGCCAATTCAAAGCACTAATGGCATTTAAGACGATAAATAATAAAAATTCTGTGAGTACAATAATTCCGTAAGTGTAACACTAGTATAAGTACAGACCACAGACTGTGATTCCAACACTCAATGTTTTCAATCAACTGAACGTTGGAGGAATCATTGTTGTCATGAAATCTAACGGGATGTTACTGTAAAATCAAGGAAACCAAACCTACCGGTACATTTTCAGAGTGACTGTCCCGTAAACGATGGAGAAGCCGAGCAATCGGACCCAGCGGAGCAGAATACACCTGAAGGTACTCGGCTTGAAGTACATGATGAACACCTGCAGAGACAGACACTTCCTGTAAGTCAAACTACAGTACAATCTACTCGTAGTTCTACTGCTCTCACTGCTGCTTAGAAGTCATATTACAATTACTTAAACTAAATCTAAACTTAAACTAAACTTACTAATACAACCATTACTATCTAGCACTACTAGACCACTAATAGGTACCCTTAAATATTAGTACTACTACAACAATTACTACTATTCCTACTACTAATATTGTCTGACATTCTGTAGACCAAACAAAAAAATCGATACATCAGGAAAATAATCTACAAATGAACTGATTATGAAACTAATCATAATTTGCATAATTAATACTGGAGCTACTGTAACTGTTAGCAGTACAACTGCTCCTACTATTGCCACTGTTACAAGTACTAGTGGTGGATGTAACTAAGTACATTCACTCAAGTACTGTAGCTGAGGTACTTGTAATTTTTTTACAGTGTGGTATTAGTACCTTTAGGATCTGAATACCTCATCCACCACAAGTTAAGTACTACTACTAGTAGTAGTAGTAGTAGTAGTAGTACTAATGCAACTGCTGGTGCTGCTACTATAACTTCTACTGCCATTAGTAGTGTTACTGCTGCTATTACTGTCTTACTGTATGTGACCAGATATTTTTATTTTGCATTGTAAATACGTTCAGTCACATTCAACAGTATGTAGCAGCAGAGCGAATGACTGTAATCCCAGAACCAAAGCTCATGCTGCCGTTGACAGTCCGTCTCCGTCACTCTGGATAAGAGCATCAGCCGAAAGCCTCAAATGCGAACACAAATTTACATTGTTGTGTTCGAACCTCTCGGGGAGGATCAAACCGCTCAGAGTGAATACATATGGAATCAGAGACGACGTGCTTTAATCAGCAGATGTGGCCTGCATGCACTCAGAGTCAGATTGGGGTCTCGATTATAGTCTGAGAAGTAATCTGATTGGTCGATCTAAAGCTACGGTGGGTGGGCGGAGTCGAATTAAAAGTCCTGGTGCTCTTTGATAACCTGGTGAAGTTTCTATGAATGGCTGAATGAGAAGTGACCCTCTTACTTTTTCGCCACCACGATGTCTCCACAACTTTTGGATGCATTGTCACAAAATTTGGTTCACAAACTCATGTTCCCCTCAAGGTGAATTGTAATAATCTGACTTTCCATCTAGCGCCACCATCAGGTCACAATTGAATTTGTAAATATTCTCAATAGAAAATAATATTATAAATGAATCAATACTCATGCATACATATATATATATATATATAAGCAGGGTCTAACTGATGTAGTTGGTTGAGGTGGAGCTCATTTTTAACGAATGAACTAATGAATGAACTTTTCATTATAGATTAATCTGCTGATTATGTTTTTCCATTTTCTCTAATTTCTCAAAGTACCTCAAATTTGTCCCGCTTGTACTTCTAATCTTTGATCAATACGATCAGCTTCTAGAAACCTTGCATCACTTTTTATCACTGTGACGGTCCTCCAGGTGCACACCAAGACAAGCCCTTCAGCAGCTGATCTGTTTGTAGATGAAATGGCCGCCCGACCACAGTGACCCCTCGCCGAGAGGAGAGAGTGAACTCTGACCTTTTTATCTGGGACGTTCAGAACTACAGTCAGGTATGTGGGCTGCAATTTACCTTTGAATTTCTCCAAACAAACGCCCAGTAAAATATTTTGCTCATTTCCTGCACTCCTTTCCTGTCAGTGTAGAGTAAATATGTCATAGTTTGAATATAAGTTCAATATACATGAATACTTTGTGCTTTATTTACTCATATGTCAGTTTTTTGTATATCCTCTGTGTCGTCCAGCACGTTGTCCTCAATGAATCCTTATTGTACTCGAGCGTGTACAAATTATATTTCTTGGTGAGACGGTATTATTATTGGTGATCCATGCAACTGTTTCAAAGAAATAGTATAAATGTATTCACTGAATATCCAACTGTTGTATTCATTGCAGTTTGGAACTGAATGAAATAAGACAGAAAAGTCAGGTAACACTGAATCAAATTATTTTTTTTGTGATAAGAAGATTTCCACCTAAAGTCTTTAGAGCAGCTAAAGTACTGGAGGAGCTAATATGAAGTTAAATATTAGCGACGCATCTGAGAATAACAAAGCACCACAAACTGCAAAAACGTTCAAAATCATCATAGAGATCAATCAGGACCTTTCAAGAACAGTTGTATCTAAATGTACCCAATAGACTGGCAGCTGAGCGTATGTTTTAGAGCAGGTTTGCCTGATTGACAGGTGTCTCAATCTCAACTAAACCCCATACAAACCATAACCCTAAAATAATCCTAAATTGGGCAAATGAATTAGGATTAGTAGTGTAACGGACTACTGTCGATCCGTGACCTGTACGGATAGTTTAACGTTAACCATCAGAGTGTGAAATAGCGTGTGCCAAGCGTGTAGGAGAACTACGGTGGCCGATGCGTAAACGCAAAAACTCAAATGTTCCTATCTAGAGCCCGTGTTTTGTTTGTCCGTTATGGGCTACTGTAGAAACACGGCGGCCGGCTCCGTGATGAGGACCTGCATGTAGGTATAAACGGCTCATTCGACGGTAACAAAAACCCAACCATTCTTATTTTCAGATTATTATACAGTAAAGAAAAGATTCTCAATAATATTATAGTCCATTTATGCCAATAAATCCCGCTGAATGCTGCACACTGAACCTTTAACTCCGTTAATTCATTCTAAACCAACGACAAGAGCCATTTCCTGTGCACAGGGAACTCAATCACCGCTGTGTTTGAAAGACAAGTTGGCATTACTCTTTATGGAGACGTCACTTGATTGAAATAAAAACACGATCATTTTTACGATCCTTTGAAATCGTCCCACCAGTGTGCAGTTAAGAGGAGCCGAGCTGCCATGAGAACAGCCCATTAACATGTTCTCACGTCACATCTAAATCAATGATCAATAACCGGCAGTAGAGCACCAGCTCAGCAGTCAGGTGGGTGATTTACTTTAACAGCTCATTAATAATTGGTAAAAATGAATCTAAAGATTGATTTATGAAAACTGTCGACTGCCTACCCGCCCAACCCGTTCCCACTCGCACACCCTCACCCTCTTTCACCCTCCCACAAAATGGTCCATTATGATATAATCCGTGGTGCTGTGCTGTGCAGTGATCTGTAAAGAGCTCTAATCTCTGACACTCTCAGCTCGGTCACACTCACCGGGAAGTAGAGGAGCAGAGAGCCGAACAAGATCGTCTCCAGCAGCAGGAGGCCGGACGCCCGGATCCTCTGAGGGACGACAAAAAGACCCGTTAGAGAGTAAAAAAGAAGATGTGGTGCTTGTTGAGAAGTTAAAGGACTTTAACAGTGTATTTTCATAATATACTGTTAAAGGACTTAGGATAGGGCACTTTATCCCGTTTTCTCTACTGGAAGGGCACTTCATTACAATTTTTCCACTAGAAGGCCAAAAGAGCATTTTTCCCCTGCCACTATTTAGTAAAAAGAAACCTTGCCAATTACAACCAAGATAAACCAATGATTATCTAATTAGCTTTTAAAAACGGCTACTCCCATTAGTCTCAGCTAACAAACCACAATCTGAACTGTATATAAGTGTTGTTTTAACTGTGTAAACTAAAATACAGAGGTGCTCTGAGTTTACAGTACATATGGAAGCTCATTTCTGCCACTGTGATAACAAAAAAGATTTGTGCTTCCATAGCGGTAGATGCTCATTTGACTTAATATGGAAAGAAAACCTCGGCGTCATGTTTCAGCTTTTTAGGAAGACTATAATGAAAGTAGCCCTCTAATGCTAATGCAGCAAAGGCTTTGAAAAGGTTTCAGTTTGTTTCTACATCCTTTATGTCACAAGAATGATGAAATCAACCATTTTGTAACATCCGCGATTGAAAAAAAAAAGATTTAGTTTGAAAGATTGATTCGAAAGCAACAAATGTCGACTCGTACGCTATAGAAAGACAGGTCTTTGATCTTGACATAATGTATCGTGGCTCAACGCCGGGAACAGCTCTCCTCCATCCAACCCCATCCGTACGGTGGCCCCGTTGAGCCAAAAGACCTGACTCACCCGGTTGCGACGATGCCTGTAGGCCACCAGCATGCTGACGAAGATGAGGAGCATGAAGACGCCCTGGACGGCCAGCACGCCGCCCCTGAGAAGCCAGGCCTCTTGCACCCAGCAGGGGCTGCCGTCCTGGCAGCTCTCACAGCCCGGCCAGCACGGGAGACAGATGGGCATGTTCGGGTAACACATACCGCCGTCACTCCCGTTCACAGGGCCACCATCTGCATCGACACCTACACAAACCCATGTGAGGACCTCATATACATGTGACTTCCAAAAACAGTACACTACATACACAGCATTGCATGTCTCTAAAGGAATATATGAAGCTTTACGGGCCAAGTGCAGGAAATCGACTCCGGCTTTCGCATTGATCTCAATGCACTTACACAGAAATAGGCACAGGTATGTGAAGAAATAGGTGTAAAAAGCACTAACATCACATATACTGTATATGTGATTCAGTTGTATACAGTACAATTAGTTCAAAAATAAAATAAATAAATGGGTGGATATGTACCGTGCATGCGTGTATAGAGCACACGTCTACATACACAATCTACAGCCTGCAGGATTTATAAAGGCAGTGACATGACGATATGTACATGTTAAAAACCATGTGCATTTCATCCGTTAAAGTATAATCCATAATGGAAGTAAGTGGATAAAAAACAACCCAAAATTCAATTAAGGGTGCATAATTCCTTCGTAACTTTATCACCATTTCAGCAGCTTGTTTGTTCATTTGGGGTCATATTTTCTCATGAATCAAAGTCCAATATTGACTCTCTTTTAAAGGTCCAATGTGAAGGATTTTGGGGGATTTATTAGCAGAAATGGAATATAATATAACTATGTTTTCATTAGTATATATTCACCTTAAACTAAGAATCGCTAGCTTAGAATGAGTCCTTCATATTTGCATAGGTAGCAGTTACTCTTCACAGAGTTCATTATGTTGCACCTCCGTGTTTCTACAGTAGCCCAGAGCGGACAAACCAAACCCTGGCTGTAGAGAGAGACTTTCACGTTTTTGACGTTGCAATCTGCAACCTCAACGCTAGATGTCACTAAGTCCTACAAACTTGACCTTTAACTCTGTTTTTTTTTGGTCCCCACCAACTCCTGGGGAAAATATCTGACTCGTCAGCTGCTCGATGTTCCACTTTCTTCCCCAGCTAACTGTGTGCGTCTGTACACTGAGTTTTTATAGATTGTTTAGCTGAGCATGTGGTGGTGGGAGCGTGAGAGGGACTTAAACAGCAACTAACAAACTAAAAGATACTAAAAAGTTCAGTCATGCTAAATAAAACGGGAGCAAATCTGCAAACCTGAGCTATAGGTGAGTTAGATTATTGTTAAATTAGTTTAACTTTCCGTCACGTCTTCTCCTCTCTGTTATAAAAGAGAAAGATATCAATATAAACAAAGGACATAAAACAAACCCTGTGTTCAGTAAAGGCTGCACAGGAATACCATCTTCTTGCTGTGTGACTCTTGGTTGTGTTTCAATGGGCAGTAAACAAGTGATTTCTCCTGTTGGGCAGCAGAGGTTAGCTGTTGACTCACCTGGACCTTGAGGGGCTATCTCTGGGTTGTAGTAACCCTCTTTGCAGCGGCAGCAGTACTGACCCAGTTGAAAGCCCTGACCTGGACTCGGTACGCACTGCGAGAAACGGAGAGATTCATTATTCTCATTGTTGTCTTTTTGTTCTTGTCTGAAGTGTTTTAGATTGTCTGTCCTTTTCCTTTAAATAAGAACAATAAGAACAATAAGAACAATAAGAACAAGCGGTGCCAGTTCTTTCTAATTAAGTGCTTCTTTTATTAGTTTGCACTGGTTTTAGTTGATTTTTATTGCTAACATTCTTCTGTCCGTCATTTACTCATTTCCCTCTTGCCACCATGTGGATTCACACATTATAGAAAAAGTGTCTTAATTAAACAGAAATGACAATAGTCACACCATGTTTCATGTTTATATAGCTACACACTAGTCTGCCCAGTTACAGAACGGAATCGACCATTACTGTGACCTGAAGCAAGACAAGAAGGATGAGTCGTTGCATTATTACACCAGGGAGCGAACAAAATAACAGAAACAACATTAAACAGTCCAATAAAAGAGCCCTTCAGCAAATACTGCTTCCTTTAAGCTCAACATTATGTTGGGCTCATGTCAGAGAGGTCCATAATTACTGGTCCATAATTTACTAATACTAATCATTTTAATAATATTTACTCAATATCTTTCTGCAAATAATGTGGTTTTAATTATAGGTAAAAGAAAAAAGTATCATATTTGTAAAATTGTCTGTGTTCCCTTTGACAAATGTCTCCATGTTTAGCATGAAAGCTCTCTAAGTCACACTAAATGACGGACCTGCAATATAGTGTGGTGACCCTAAGCACCAATTGCATTTTGTTAGTTATTCCATGGAGGGCTCCTGTTAAATTCCATTTTTATTGTAATGACAACATTGTGTTGTAAATCCCTGCTAATAATATGTCCAAATATCTGAACGTTAAGTACGGTTAAAGTTTAGGTTTGTGCTTTCAGACATGATGGTACCTTCAATAACACGCATCCAACACCATAGAGTAACATCACAGTTAAACTGAAACTAAAAAGTATGCAGGGTTTTGATGTAATTTTATTGTTGAATGCAATGTTTAAGTATCTTTATTGTTTCCTAAATAAAGCACAGACATTGTTGACTTTATATGTTTCTTTTAAATGTTGTATCTGGACCCCAGAAAGAGTTGTTGTTGAAGCAGCACCGCTTTCCAGCTGATGCTGCTGTGAAGCTAAAAATAGAGGGTCAATTTACGCTCTCACTATTTTCGCTCTGATGCTAGCTTCAATTTAGCCGGTCAGGACACACACACACACACACACACACACACACACACACACACACACACA